AGTATTTTGGACAACGATCAGGCCAGGCCAGATTTGATTTGGGCCAAATTATCCATGATCAGGCCTACCCTTATCAGGCCCTTCAACATTTGCAACCACTGTGCTCCTCTCAGTGTTTCGTGTGGAACACTTGACAAAACAAACATTGAGCATGCATGCCCCTTATTCGCATAAATTATTATTAGTGCAAAATGTTACATGAAAAGATCTTCAATATACTGTTACACCTTTCACCGGAGAAGATTACGTGTTTCCTGCATTTAGTTTTCGGTATAGATCTTACTGCCAGAGTATGCTCCATTGGACTGACCACCATGATGATTTTGCACCACTGCTTTGCTTTGCATTTCTCTTAGAAAACTGCCGCTAATGGTGGCGCACGTTTGAGAATTGGTCGACCGAGTCACCCCGCTCAAACACAGCTGCTGCCCCCATGCCAGATCCTGCAACCAATTCATGCATAGTTACATACTAGTACACAAGATGTCATGGAAGTTTAACAACGAGGGCTACTTGCATGCATTCTCCTGCACACAGAGAAATCCAGAGAAAAAGAACTCACCAATGCACATGGTGACAACACCGAATCTGCAGTCCCTGCCCCGGCGCTTCATTTCATTCAGAAGAGTTGCGACGCACCGGGCACCTGACCAACAGAGGAACAATCACCCCATTTAGAAGACATGCTTGGATGATCTGTAGCAGGTACTAACAGACAGCAATGCTACTTCCATTGACACCTGCACATTCTAAAGCCAGAATGACGATCTCCCATACAAGTATTTGATTACCTGTTGCACCAAGAGGATGTCCTAGGGCGATTGCGCCTCCATTCACGTTTACTTTTGACCTGTCCAGTCCCAGCTTGTTGCAGCAATACACGAACTGCGAAGCGAAGGCCTATACAAGAATACAGATGGCATGGGTATCAACCATTGTAGCTAGGTACGAGTAAACGAGTGAGCTAATATTGTAAAAAGTAACAAACCTCATTCAATTCAAACAGATCAATGTCTTCAATCTGGAGTCCAGCAGACTTCACTGCAGCTGGTATTGCTACTGCAGGACCAACACCCATAACAGCAGGATCTACTCCAACAGCAGCAAAGCTCCTAAATGATGATTGGAGGCAACATATGGATGGATCAGTTAAAAGAAAATGTGATAATATATTAGGTCCCAACAGCAATAGCAATAACAATGATGATCACAAACTCCGTTCACACCTAACAATAAGATACACTCCCTCCATTCCATAATATAAGGCACAACCACTTTTCTTAGATGTTCCATAATATAAGGTATACATGCAAACATGCAATTAACTATGACATCTTCTCCATTAAATTATTACTTTTTTAAATCCTCCACTCTCATGCTATCTAATCCTATTGGATGCATGCATTATATTTATTAGGATGATCCAAACTACAAGATGATAATAATTATTTCTTGGTCTTTGGGTTAAGGGTGGTTGTGCCTTATATTTTGGAATAGAGGGAGTATCTCATACAGCATTCAGGAACACATGTTAAGACTGAACCAAATGCTGTATATACAAGGAAATGCAAAATGCAGCACCTGAAAACACCAAGAATAGGAAGTCCCTTCTTCATCGCTACGTCCCTCCTCATGAGAAGAACAGCTCCAGCACCATCGCTCACTTGACTAGAGTTGCCTACATAGATTCGTTAAATTAAAAAAAAAAAACACATACACAATGTAACAAGCAATGGACAAACAAAGCCTGGTTGCAATAGTAGTGTCAGCAGAAAAAAAAGCTAAGAGTGCTGCAATACCTGCAGTTGTGGTACCATCCTTCCGGAAAACTGGTTTAAGCTTTGCCAATCCAGATGCTGTGGTCCCTGGCCTAATTCCATCATCAACTGATATCACAACTTTCTTTTCCTCTCCAGTCTTGGGGTCAACAATCTGCACAGGAAAGAATATCAGTGAACCTTGCACAGGTCCTGATTAGCAAAAGAAAAATCCAGTGACAACAACCATTCATGAGTCAACAATAACCATGAACAATAAACTAGGTTACATCACATGAACTAAATCCCAGAGCCTCTTACCTTTGTAGGCACCGGAACAATCTCATCTTTGAATTTCCCAGCAGCTGTGGCTGCAGCAGCCCTCCTATGAGACTCAGCCTGTTAAAAACAAAAATTTCGACAGTGTTTTGAGTAAAAGGAAGCAGTGGGAAGAAAAAACACAAACAGAATGTATGCAAGTGACTCACAGCAGCCTGATCCTGCTCTTGTCTTGTTACACCATATCGGTGCGCAACATTTTCGGACGTTATCCCCATGGGCAAAAGACAATCCTGTGCTTTCTGGACTTCATTTACCTACAAAGTACGTGGTGTTACAAGGCATCACCAGAGAACAACAGAAATACAGAGGATGCTCTGGTGCTCATAGAATTCATACTTTAGGGTTTACTTGTCCTTCCCAACCCATAGCATTTACTGACATGGATTCCAGGCCTGCACCAATCCCTGTTTTTGATGGAAAAAGACAAATTAGCACCTTTAAATGAAGCAACCATGTAGCAGAGTTAGCATAACCATATTGTCTAGAACGAGTAACTAGTTAATTACCTATGTCGTAGAACCCAGCTTTAATGGCCGCGGCAACATCAGCCACTGCCTGTAATCCAGAGGAACATTGCCGGTTGACAGTTCTAACAGGAACGTTTTCTGCATCGACAGAAAAGTAAAATCAAGCAAATGAAACCAGTGTCCATAATAAAGAAGCCCTGTCTTCATATGGTGATATAACCGCAAACACAGTATTACCGGGAACTCCAGCATAGAAAGCCGCAGCCCTGCACTCGATTGCACGCTGCGAGCCTGGACCTAGCACCGTGCCAACTACAATGTCACCAATTTCACCAGGGTTGATCTTAGTGTTGTCCAGAACAGCCTAGAAAATACATAGAAAAAAAAGGAGCAAACGATTGATTGAGAACGCATAGTCTCTAAATTCGAAGTAACCACTGAATCACAGCATACATGAAGGGCAATATTAGCAGGCGCAAACCTTTAGAACAACAGTAAGAAGGTCCTCTGGGTATGTATCCTTGAAACCTCCTCGCTTGGCCTTGCATATGGGTGTCCTGTAGGCACTGCAGGTGGATAAACATGGAATAAAGTGGTTAGAAGAGTATCTATCACATCCGTTGATCGATTCAGATACGTGGTGGCATATTCACATGGCTAAGCACACAAAACATGCTACAGCCAAAAAAGAAACACTAAAAAAAAAACAAAGCTTAGAACTTGTAGTTTGTAATACACTTTGGGTGATAGGTGGTGAAGAGATAGAATTGACTTGTAGAGTTTGCGATCTTTTATCTTGTTGCAAAATAGCAGTAACAAACTCTTCTTTTTTTTTTGCGGGGGTAACAAACTCTTGATTTAGTATGATTTCAGCTACTAGTACAAGGTTTATCCTAAAACTAAAGAGGTTAACTTCAACAAAACGCATTTGACTTGGATGGGCGTACATCGCGATACCAAGCACCTACAGTAATCCTGATTCGTAAGAAAAGTCAATCAGCGCAGTTGCTTGAATTTACTACTATTCCTCAAACATGGCAGCAACTAGTGGTAGTCAAACATCCGCCATTAACAGGTGACCTTAATTGGTGTTCCGTGTAAGTAATAACAGGTAGTAGTAGGAAAAAAAAAGGGATTAGGGATGTAAAAGCTTACGCGACGACGACGACGTCGTCCCCGTAGGCGGAAGTCCTCTGGTAGGCGGCGCTGTCCCCGGCGGCGCACGCCGACGCCTGAACCAATCAACCAACAATCGAATTGAATTGAGTCCAGTGAGAGAGAGAGAGAGAGATGGAGATTACAAAGAGAATTGCGAGAGAGAGGAAGAGGAATTGACTCACGGAGAGGAGCGATTGGTCGGAGGAGGAGGAGGGGAGGAGGTGGGCGAGGAGGACGCGCTGGCGATCGATCGCCTTCTCCATGGCTGAGATCCGAGCGCGCGAGCTGGTCGTCTTCTTCCTTCCGATGGGGTGGGGAAGCCCGCCGCGGTGTCTGGAGAAGATTTTCTCTTGTTCGTATCGCTCTCTCTCGCGAAAGCGCCGATTACTTGACGCAACCAACGTTGCTTCTGCTTTGCTTATGTAGGCGCCACTACCGGATAAGCTGCCCACTTTTTTTTTATTTCCTTTCGTACTGCTTCCAGATTTTCTTTTCTTTCTTTCTTTTTTTCTTTCACACAGGTAGTACTAGTAGTCCAGTAGCAGCACGTCGCTTGCACGTAACGGATTACTATTTTTTTTTTGCTCTCCGTATTTTGCCTGGTATTCCTACATTCTTGTGTGTAACAGTATTGTTGTCTGACCGTATTGTACAGTATTCTCGTATCTCTGCCTGGTAAGACTACGACGTGGGTAAGTGAGCAGTTACAATAACAAGCTATAAACAGGCTATAACCACGTACCGAGAAGAAAAAAAAAAGAGAAAAAAGAAAACGGGCTACAGATTTATAGCCAGCTGCAACACGAACTCTAAAACGTTATATCTAAAACGTTATATGTATATGAGAGGTAGGACCTGTTATTAATGGTGCAGTATATTTTTATAGATAACTATTGTATGAATAAACTATTATATTAGTTATAGATGATTTAGAGCCAACGGTTGGCTATTCTATTGAACTTGCTCTAATTGTGATGATACGAGTGCACATGCTAATCGAGAATCCGCGCCGAATGGTGATGGTCTGATGGAGCTAAACGTGGAGTTCGTCTGCTTCCATGCTTGTGCTGACGTCAGGCCTGACGGCAGCTGGCCGGTTGGTGTTAGTTGCAGTTGGATAAGAAGGCCAGGCCGGTAGATAAAGACAACAGCAGCCGTAACAGCCAAGGTCTGCTTCCCACGATGACAAAGCCCATCTTGTTTCATGGGCTTGGGCCTCACCTCATCATCACAACGGCCCAGCCAGGATCACGTCCAAGCAAATGCAAAAACCAGCTCAACTTGTCCAAAACGACTTGCATTTTTGCAAAGACAGTAAACTCTGCTGAAATTTACAAATAAGCTTCTTCTTCTTCTTCTTCTTCTTCTTCCTCCTCCTGTTAACGAACCAACAGTAGGAAGGACCAAGTTGTGAGTTTTCAACTGTCGACAAATTTCAATCAAACGTCAACCAACCAATCCCTTCTGAACAATTTTTACACCGATTTGTACACGAGGGCCATTCTTGCCTTCTCCATCAATCATCATCAGGATCAGGTAGGGCAGATTTCAGGAACAGGGGGATCGCCATGGAGCTTTGCCTGCTGCTCCGACCAGTAGGCCTGTGCGGCGAGCACACGGTCCAGGAGTTCCTGTGGAACTGGAGCTCCCCTTCTTTGCTGCGGCGCTATGCTCGCCGTGTGCACCAGGGTCTTCCACTTGTCCTGGTTCATCAAATATTGTTTCACAGGTTTTCAGATAGTGCATCCTGATCCTGATAGAAAGAGGCAGATCTGAAGAAAAAACGAGATAGATTTAGGCTTACCTTCAGATCAACATAGGTCCTATGATGAACATTTTCAAATGCGCGGAATTTGACGTCCCTCCACCTAGACAACCAGATCAAGAGGTCCACATGAGACACGCGAACTGCGGTGATGATCTCGTGCCTATAGGAATAAAACTACTGGGGCATTGAAGCCACAAACCTTCCTGTTCCAAGGTGCTCGACGGCTTCCACCAGCAACTCCACTTCAGCAACAGTGAAAGGCCTCCTTATCCGTCTTTGCCCAAAATCTGGTCGCTTTGACCTAGAAAGCGGCACATTGGCCAGCGCCAGTGAGTTTGGATCTGCAAAAGGGACGATGGCTTGGGAGCTTGCTGATGTTTCTTGTGTGCTCCATTCCACGGGATAATCAACAGAACCAGGATCACTCAAGCTGCAGCCTGGAAAATCTTGCATAAGCTGCTGGTTCTCAGCAGGTTCTTCGCATTTCACCCTGGAAATGGAATATTAAAACCCTTAGATGACCACATACAGCAAAAATCTATGGTCGTGTAGTTTCCGAAACTTCTGCAAAACAACAACGTTGACATAAACTATCAGATGCATCCTGACAATGTTTTCTAATCATCACATGTAAATCCAAGCCTCCTGTCTAATAATGCAAGGAGAAGATGCTTTCTTGTAACCTACGTAGCAGACTTGTCCACAACAGATGCACCAACAAAATCCATTTCTTCTGGCACTATTACACCAGGGTGAGAATCTTGCCCAGCTTCACATTCCAGAGTAAAGCCTATGTCATTTAGTTTTTTACCACGGCAAATCCCAGCCTGACGAAGCGTCTTGTTGTCATTTTGAATATTTTTTCCTTGAAGAAGTATACCGACACGGAGACCGCGTTCAATTATAGTAGTAACAGCATCTGACACAGTTTTCTGAAGACAAATAGAAAGAAATAATGTGGTTCATAAGAAAGCCAATGTCTATGCACAGAGATAAATATTTAAGTGTAAAGCACTGACAGGCAGAAATATTCAACATATATAAGATTAAAATAAGTGTAACGAAAAGGCACCACCTTTTCACTATGTATAAGTACGTTGCATCACTAAAACTAGAAAACTAGATCAGTCAAATACACATTAGCATGGATCACAGAGCAGCAAATACTTGATATATTTGAGTTTCCAAAACAGCTGACACAGGATAACACTAACGATACTAAGATTATTGACAGCAAATGGAAAGAGTATCAGGATGCACACATGAATACATGGTTGCCAACTAATAAATATATGTTACAGCCAATAACTTTTACTGAGAAGATACACATATGGTGTTTTACCTTCAATGAACCAACTGTTGCATTTTCAGGGATCTCAATTAGTAGTTCAGGGATGTTGAAAGATTTGATGGTTAACTTGACTGAAAAGAGAGAAAAAAGTAAGTCATTGTGTTTATAAATTAAGCAATGATTCTTTTAAGTCAACCCCAAAACTAAAATAAACATCCAGGACGCCATCATAGCCCTCAGATGCACATGCGGATTTGGATCACCCATACAAAATGGAGTTCCACTGGCAGAAATGGCATGCCCGTGTATTTTTAGGAAGTGTATCAAAGCAGGGGTTCAGAATATCCAATGCTGTGTGTAAGAAGGATTAAGTCGTACCAACTATGTGCAATGTTACATCCTGGAGCAATCTAAATAATTTGTGACCTTTAGATACAATAAGGGAAACGGACAACACAATACATACTTTCAGTTAGGATCTGAGTTTTTAATAAAGCTTCCATTATCAAAAAATACTTTCAGTTAGGATACCTTCATCAGATGATTTTTCGGAGTAAAGTTGAGCAAGTCTTTTCCTCTTCAAAGTTGTTTGTTGCACTCTTCGGCGCGTAGTGGGCATCTTCTTTTCACACAAACTCAGCTTGTTACCTAGTTAAATGATAAAAAACTTGGTCAATATAAAGTCCAAATCCTGCTAACTAGCTGAAAAATAAAATTAAGTAGGAAAAGAAAGTATCCTCTCTTTTCACAAGCTATGGAGCTGTAGAAGAGATGATATTAGCTTGAAATACCTTTACAAGACATCTCTCCACATATCCTGTTGCGAGCTGCCTTCCTTAACCTGGAGGCAAACAATCTCCTTATCCTGCGGTCACCTATATAATGTGGAATATAACCACGGTTATTTCCTGAGGTGCTTGGATGTACACACCCAGAAGAATTTTCGTCATCATCTCTGTCTGCAGCATGCTGCACTTTAGCCAAACACGAGGGATGGGAGTTATGCCCCCTGTCAGGGCCGCAGATGTGCACTCCTGAGTTACTACCAGAGCTAGCCTCAGCAAGAGGTTTGGTGTCCAAATCCATGGTCTCGACCAAAGCACATAGAGCTGCAGCATCACTATCTTCTTGACTTCTGATTGCTGTTGGTCTCGCCCGATGCACTTGTTTAACCTCTGCTGATCTTGTGGACCAAGGTTGGCATACTCCAACAGATCCATACTCCGGAATTGTGCCAAGACCAAAACCCAATCGACATGATTTTTTACTGCTAACAAATGAGTCCTTAGCCAACACATCAGGCTTTGCTGTTAGTGACTCTAGTACTGAATCAGCTAGATTTTGAGTCGACGAGTTTTCAGCCAAGCACATATTAGCTTGTCTGAGAAAGCCACAGATGCCTGCACAGCCTACTGTACAACCTTTGCAGTCATCTTTTTTCACAGCCACGCTTCTCAACGGAAACGCTTCATCAAACTGTTCTGCTTTAACTGGTTTCATGCTTGTAACATAACCTTCTGGTGTTTCATTTATGTTAGGTCCACTAGATAAATTGTCTTGATCAGCCAACAATTTTTCTGCAGCTGTCGCAAGCAAATCAAGTGCATACATCTGCTTTTTCCTTATTCTTGTGGAGCGTTTAACCTGAATTACAATCGATCATTAAAACTTACCAAATTATGTGGGTAGCACACTTAACATAAGAACATAACAAAAATGTACCGGCGCCAATGTTGCGACACGTGGCTTAATGGGAGCACGATGGCCATGGGATCCATAGTCCAACCTCTTCTGCAACACCATGTCTTGTCCTTGACTTTAGGAAATGTGTTCAGTGACAGCAAGGGGAAGTAAATAAAACATGCGCCATATTTTTCTGCGTCGAATAAGCAAGATTTAGCGAACATTGATCCAATACCGAAAGACATCCTAATACAGCTCACAACTAAAAGAAAATGCTGAATTCTATGCTTCTGAAATGGAAAGAATTCATCATTGGTGAGCCCCATCAAAACCGATAATATCTGGCAAGATGACATTCGCTGAAACCACAGTCTACTTGTAGTAGTATATCTTTGCTCTTAAAAAGGACAAATTGGGGTTGATGGTGTGCTCTACACCCCACCCCGACATCTGAGATGATGTTGTCTGGCTAGATCTGTGTATACACAAACCGAATCAAACATGTTTCGGCTCGGCAATTATTCGGTTCACACCTAGAGCATAAACCCCATCCCGAAATGCAATCGAGCATCTCGCGTAACTGACGAGAGGGAAGAATCCGCATTACCCGTCGACGCCGACGAAGAGGAGGGCCTCGCCGCCAGCGTTGAGATCGCCGCAGCTCGGCTAGGGTTTTGCAGCTGCGTGTTCCGACAGCCGACCAACCGGAGCGGGAGGCGCAGATCGGGGAGCACCGGAGCACGGCGGAGGGGAGCAGATGGCGCGCGCCGCCGCAGCGCTCGTCGCCTAGGATTGGTTGACGACGACGACGACGATGCCCATCTGCTGCTTCTGCTGTGCATACAAGAAACGAATTTTGCATATAAGTTTCCATTTTTTTCTCCTTTTCTTGAAAACATACAGGAGATAATCAGAGCAGGAAATAAAATGAAATAATCAGGCAGGTTGTCCGATCAAGAAGGGTAACCTTGTGGGGGATGGGGGAAGGTTCCAGAAGGTTCGAGAAGAGCGGGCGGGGAGGAGGAATCGCTGCAAGTGGAAGGCGCAGGGAGGAGGAGGAGGAGGAGAGGGAGAGGGGAAAGGATTGGAGGAGAAAAACCCCGTGGAAGAGAAGAAGCGAGGATTTTCCTTGTGTTTCTTGCTGTTTTTTCTTTTCTTTTTTTTCTTTTTTTTTTGATGATGGGAAGAAATGGTTTTGGGGCAGAGTGGTTGGTTGGAGGTGGGCTTGCGCATGATGCATCACGGCCCATTGGATGATGGATCGGTTGGGCTTAATTTTTGTTTTTGGAGCAAAGCAATATGGGCCGGCCTGGTTATGGCCTGGTTATATTCGAAGATGGGCTGCTCTATAACTGGAGGCCCAACCTGTATTATGGGATGAGATCCCAAATGCAAAAATCACACAAGTTTGTCATGATTTTGTCGTAAGATCTGTCCTTTTACGAGTGGAAATGAATAGATTCACGGGCCATGGACTTTTCTAACAATAGATTAACGCCAGCGCACACTTCCTGGGCTCCTAAACAAGTGCATTTTTTTGCAAAAAGAAAAAGAAAAACTTTATATATATGAACTTACTTGTATAATCCATTTTCCAGCTTTACAATAGTTAATTCATTCGTTTATACCCTTAATAGTTATCACAAATCATTCGGCTATTCAACAATTAATTAATTAAGCACAAACATTCAGGGCGGTGACAAGATGGGGTCTACCCTGAGAATTATCCTAAGAACTTGGAAGTTCAGGGACCCATGCACAAGCAACTTTGAGTTTACGCTACAGTTAATTAATATAAATCGGAAAATATCTCTCAAGAAATTAGAAGTCAACTAACACAAATCATATTCCCCTTATGATGCAGTTCTTTTCTCCCGTTCCATTGTAGGAGTAGTAGCTTTCACTTGATGCATCTAGCACTGAATCTACAGCAAACGGCCAAGCTCGACTGCAAGTTCAGCAAGCAACTTGGCAGATGCATACACAGCATCGAAGCATCCAAGATCGATCGCCCACCTAACACGGCGAGCTATCTGTTTTCCAGCGGCGAAAGAAACCACGGGCACGGCGAGTCGGCTCACCGGCCGGCCGGTCGGTACTCAGTACCAAACCAAAGGTCAGGATGATCCGGCTTATCCACTGCCACGTGACCTGGGCCCAAGAGAATCCCGCCAGCCAATCGCCGCGCGCCACGTCGCCCGCTCTGTCCCTGTAGAACACACAATCATGTCCGAATTCCACGTCAGTCCACATCCAAACTTGGAGAAATCTGAGAGAATTACTCACACTAACCTGACTTCTTCACTGATGAATGCAACCCATCGTACTTGGTAGTAGTAGTACATATCCATATAACCATATCCTGTTTCAGGCCTTGTCAGTGACACCTTGGTTAAAACCACCCATGCACCATTCTGCTGCTCTCAAATCACTATCCTGAATACACTAATCTCAATCTAATTACTAAGTTTCAGCCAAACCTCAGAATATGCAAAATAGTCATCTTCAGCTTGCAATTTGCAGATCCATAAGTTTTGCCATATGCATGGACTATGATAAATGCCACCTCTGAATCTCTGATAGCAGAAACAAATGATGATGAGATACTAACAAGCACTAATGGAGTATTAAAAAAGATCTGAGCATGGATGAGGTCAAAGTCCACCAATAGGATCTGAGCAGTAGCAGTCATTGGTGGGCCAGCACCTCCCATGCATTCCTATCCACCTCAGCTCCCTGACAATAGACGCAAGTATCCAGTTCACTATAAATGAAGGCCTCCGGCTACGATCTGCAGGAGAAAAAACAGTCAGAAGCTAAGGAAGAAAAAGTATAGACACAGTGATACAATGGCCTGCATCAACACATTCCAGAGCTGCTCCGTCCTCAAGGGAGCAAAGATCAATGGTACCAAGATCGGAGGAGGGAGGGGATCACCAACCTTCCGGTGCCGGGCATCGACGTTCATGGACGGGAGCCTCCGGCTAGAGATCGACGAGAACCCTGAAGCCATCATCTCCGGTGAGTGGCCGGAGAACTTCTCCCTGCTCAGCTACGACGATCTCCGCGCCTACCTCCAGTCACAGGAGGCCGCTGCTCAAGCCGACAACCAGGTGCACTGATCACACCATATATACATAGATTCTTCTTCTTCAGATCACCAACTGTCGATCTTCTTCTTAAGATCTTGCTAAACTCTGAACTGGTTGCATGGTTGGTGAATTGACCAGCGTGTGGCGCTCCTGAGTGAAGCCATGTCGGCGCCTGTGCTGGTAGCCACTGCCGAGCAGACGCTGGAGGAGGTTGAGTGCCACTTTGAGACGGTCTCAGGTCTCCCAGTTATAGATGCCAGCCTCAGATGTGTTGGAGTGATCGTCAAGAGTGACCGGGCCAGGGCTTCTCATGGGGTCAGCTCTCTTTCTCCTCTCACACACACATACATGATACATATCCCTCTCACTCACGCACATACTCAACAACAAAAATAAGTGCTGATCTATTGCTTCTTGTAACAGTCAAAGACGAAGATTGCAGAAGTGATGACCTCTCCAGCCATCACTCTACCATCTGACAAAACAGTAATGGGTAATCCATCGTTGTTTTCGCCCTTATTTTTTTTGGTTATTTTCCACTTAGCTACCAGTTAAGCTAACAAGGCATATGCAATGTCTACAGATGCGGCAGCTCTGATGCTAAAGAAGAAGATCCACAGATTACCAATTGTAAATCAGGACAGACAAGTGATAGGTGAGTTTTGAGCAGTGGCCAATACAGAAAAAAAAAGGGCTTTCATTTTTTCCCCTTGATTTTATACCATCCTTAACATTGATAATTCAGAGTATGTTGCATGCTAAATGGAGTTCCAAACACTATTAACAGGTATAGTTACCCGTGCTGACGTTCTTCGCGAGTTGGAAGCCCTGCTGGAGGTTTAGACGTGCAGTGGTCCATATGCTTCGGCCTTGTTGTATATATGTAAATATATGCCATGGTGTTTTTGAATAGCAGGCATCTCTAATCTGTAAGAGTGTTGTAGCGCGAATCACCAAGATAAGCCTGAGAAAATAACCGGAGAGCTTTTCTTTGTACAATAAGCACACTATGAGACCTCCAGTGTTGTATGCCTGTGAAAAAATTTACGTTAGTGAATGGTCTCCACAACAACATAGATGAATGAATATGCCTAGTTATCTTTCAGAACAAAACCACCAAGGTGCTTCAAAGATGGATATAAAAGTGACCTTATTGAAGTTTCATTGTCAGAGGATGCATAGAACAATAGGACTTAACAGAAGAAAATAGGAATGCCGATGCAAGAGATATGCCTATTCGGCTATTCCTTTGCCACTTCTGAGCACTAACAGGAAAGATGGAAATGTGTTATACCCAGAACCACAACAGGTCAATCAAGATAGATGGAAAAAAAAAAATCAACAAACACCAATATCGAATGTGACAAATCTTTAGATAAAAAATGAACCTAATATTATAAGCTGAAGGAACCGTAGCTATTTCAATCTCAGGAAGACCCAAGGAGAAAGAACATACTCAATCTGTATGTCGTGGCAATGCTGAGGCTGTCATAACTCAGATTCGAGTTGCTGAGACTTGCCCTTGTTGATCTTCTCCTGAAGCAATACTAGCAGCAGAAACGGGCATTGATGTAGTAGTACTCATGTTTTCTGGTGAATCAGAAATGACTTTCATCTCTAGGTTTGGGATTACAGGTGGCTTTGTCCTCCGAGTAACAGTCATTTTCAACCCCTCAGTTGTGTGAATCGTTGCTCCAGTTGTCATCTCAACCTATCATATTGATACTTCACAGTGATTATCTGTATGTTGATAACTATGAAGAACCAGGAAGCAGACAGAAATTATACCGGAGGAGCTCCTGGAGCCATTTGAAAATCAAAGCGCCTGACAAGCATTGCAGTTGCCACCACAGTCTGCATACAAGTTCCGGCATATCCATGTTATTAGAGTTGGAATCTTGCATGCTCAATAGTTATTGTACTACATTATTTATCATGGCATGAGATATAATGTCCTTATGGTAGACAACAGAAGGCTCAAGGCAACAAGGTTCAGTAAGACTGGACCATACATAAGTTTGCTATGTTTCCTTAAAATGACATTTTGAAATTAAAAGAAGAAATCCTTCAAAAACTAAAACAAATTACCTCGAAAGTGGCAAACATGTCACCTACACATTTCCTTGGTCCGCCACCAAATGGCAAGTAACTGAGAATTCAACAGAACACGTGAGTCCCATTTAGCTATGTAGATTCATCAAATATATTAAATTAGCCAGTGAGGCAGTGACAGCTAACAGATGCTAGCCGCAATACACAGAATGAAAGCTACCACAGCCTAAAATTGGAGCTTAAAAAGTTTGACATGCCAACTGAAAATCAATAATTTGGATGTTGTCTTGAAAGAAAGATGTGTTCCGCAGTGAGTTCAATCTAAGCTGACAAAATAATGGGACATGTCATGTGCCAAGTAAATGCAGATTACCATTTTTAAGTTTCAGTGTGATGCCTAGGAGACTTGCTGTACATTATAGTTGATGATACGTTGGTTGTTTTTCAATTAACATGATTTGCAGGTCACAGGTTTTATGCCGTGCATCAACTCCCTGCAAGACTGCAACACGGAAGAAGTTTGTAGTCCAGTCGGAAGTCTTCATTAACTCAGGATGGCACGAATTGTTACGTCTTCTAATCAAGTAAGGATTTTGTTCAAAGCACCTCTGATGTTTGTTGATCCATACAAAGGGTTCTGCTGTTGACATACTTGCTACAGGTAAGGAACTCATACGACATACTATCAGTTTATACAAAATTACTATTCCAAGTACTGTTTCTGCGTAACCAGTTAACAGTTCTGGCGATGTGGTAAAGTTGAAAAGTACTTTCAAGCACTATCAGTTTGAAAGTACAATAGCATTTTGGCACATGTTGCTTATAGCCATATGAATATCATTTTAACATGATTGTCATAAACTGTGGTTTAGCTCCCAAAACCATAAATTTAGGAATCAAGTCATCACAGTTATCTCATCTTTACTGCTTCAAAAGAAAAAGGTCCCATTTTTCTTTATGTTGTTGTGACTGCCTTATGCACTTTCTAAGATTGTGGCTATGCACATGCCAGCATTAGCACTAAATTAATACGAATCACATGAAGAAAATTTGATGATTTGCATCAAAGAAGAAAACGAAAATCAGCTAGAGTTTTTGTTTTTGTTATCTCTAGAATAATTACAACAGGTGCATCGCATGACCAAATAACTTAGTGTTAGTAGATGTAAAAACGCAAACTTCTCGTCAAACAAGAACACAACTATACCGAGCATAATCAAATGTCTACTGATTTTTGTAGTAGAAAGCAGAAACTAATAAAATGGGGGAATTAGAGTGATAAGGTGCATCCAAATAAAGAGCTAATGCATTTCATAGCATTAATAGAGATGGAACCTGAAATTTTGGTTTGTTTCATTTGGATTTGGTCCATCCAAAGGCCATCTTTCTGGATTAAAAACATCTGCACCATCCCAATGCTTTGGGCAATGATGTAGGTTCCACACGGATATGAAAATGTCTTCTCCCCTGGGAAACAAAGGGAAAAAATATCTTATCAGAATTATAGGTGAAGTTCAAATTTGTACTGAAATTTTTAAAAAGGAACAATTCAGACAATTAAATACTCTAGAGCTACGACCAGAAATGGTATACAAGCAGAAGACAAAAATATATCACACAAGATTGGGAAGATATTCTCTAAAAAAAGATTGGTTAGATAACTTATACTTGCACATATCTTAGGCCCTCTTTGTTTAGGCTTATAAGCCAGCTTATGAGCTGAAAAGTCTAAGCCTAAACAAACAAACAGCTTTTCGCATGTTTTTTTTAAAAGCCATAAACCACTATTACACTATTAAGGCTCAGCGAACTGTTACACTATTAAGACAAAAGCTAGGTTGGAAAAGGTTTTTTGGCTTATGTGAGATAGAGGTATGACTCCACCATTAAACTTAGGACTTTAAATCCATTGGCTTATAAATCATATAAGCCAAAAAAACTGACTTAAAATACTAAACCAATAAACTTAAGCCTAAATAAAGAGGCCCTTAGACTCAGTTTCACCAGAACTTTACTGGTGTGATACTAGGCATGATCTTTCTGTTTTCCTATTCCAATTGTAACAACAGTCAACAGGACTACAGGAGAGATTTCCTACACTTGAGAAATAAGTTCTGCTAGAGTTTTCTTTACCGGCCAATTGGGTACCCTCCCAGCATATCCTCCTCAATAGAGCGACGAATTAAAACTGGTGGCTGTGGATAGAGTCTCAATGACTGCAAAAGTGGTGATTGAATGACATATTCATTCAGTGATCATACTCATTGTTTAATGAGGTAGCACTGTTTATCACTTACTTCGTTAATTACTCTAGTAGTATACTTCAATTTCTTCACATCCTCAATTGTTGGTAAACGGTCACCTAGAACAGTATCAGCCTGTCCATAAGTGAGTGAAACAAGTCATTTGCAACTTGTAAGATGTAGAAGCACGTGCCTCTAAAAATAACAATCCTAAATGTAAAAGCGAATTTACCTCATCTTGGAGTTTGGCCATTACATTTGGATACTGCAAGTTACCAATGCCAAGAAAGGTAAAACATGAGTGGTTTGACGTATACAATATTCATCATTACATATTGCTACATTAATACATCAATGATTTGAGTTGCTGAACATATTTTCTTTTGGGAACAGCTACGGAACATATTGATACCTTAGATAGAAGATAAAATGTCCATGTCAAGACTGCTGCAGAGGTCTCATGGCCAGCAATGAGCATTGTCATCAGATCATCACGGAGTTGCTTGCTGGAGACCTAATGAAGACAAATTGAAGCAATGTGAGGACCAGAATGTTTGGAGATCTATAATATTTTAAACTGCAGGTACACCATACATCATCTCCAGATGCCAAAAGAAAGTGGAGGATACTGGGGTCTTGCTCATTCATGTATTCTTCATGAAACTGCAGATCTTCTTCCTCGACCAATCTCTGCAAGAGTAACAGCAGCCAATCTAAAAGCCTTGATTTTTTTAAAAAATAAATAATAAGGTCAGAACATAAGAAAAGAAGTTCACCTTGCAGATGTCAATTAGTTCATCAAGAGTCTTATTTATCAGCGCAAGAGCTTCATTGACCTTCTTCTGCCGCGGGGAAATATCTTTCCATATGGGTATTTCCCAAGTTGGTATAGGAGAAGTGCTCCGCATTTCTGCTTCTCGCAGTGTCACATACACTGCCTGATCATCAATCCAAAAAAAGGTAAAATTTTAAGAAAACAAACATGAACAAATAGAATGTATAATGAATTCCAAAATTACAGTACAAGACTGAATACTAACCTCAACTATTCCATTATCGTAAGACAATGAGTCGAAATCATAATTGAAGACTGCCTTCCCAATGACATCCAGTGTTAGTCGAGAGAACAAAGATTCCATCTCCACATCCTCCCCATCCGTTGCTGCCTTGTCCAACTTCTGGCAGAGCCGATCTGAAGCATATCCGAAGAGACTTATCATTGCGGTAACGTACTGCAAAGCGAAATTCAGATCAGTTCAATCACAACCCGAAGATCAAATCATGCTAAACCTGGTACAGAAATGATGTAGAACCTTCTGGTGCATTGCTGGTACAATGGCGCGCCTCCTAACACGCCAAATCTCCCCATCAGCAGGGATCAAACCCGTACCCATCACAAACTCTAAAATTTCTGCCAGAATACCCTGCACCCACCACAATCAAAATGCAGGCCGTTAATTTCTAGAGCACAGCCTAGAACACGTCTACATCCAAAATTGACAACACAAAACCTTGGAATAAGCCTTGGAGTTGTCCCTCAGGATGTGCTTAGCTATAGCTGGATCAGAGACAATGAGGAAAGACTGGGGAAAACAAGAAAAGAACAAAGTTTAGGCCATCAATAATAACACAAAATTGGGAGTTGCCGAGTTGGAGAGCAAATTGGTCTGATTGTGCATCACCTTAGGGCCGAAATTGAGGCGAAAGATGCCGCCATAGGTAAGGAAGAGATCATAGAGCGGGATGAAGAAAGCCTGCCCTGTCACCGCACTCATAGACCCCACCGCCTGCGGTATCTCCGGTCCGCCGCCACCGGCGACCTTGGTGAGCAGCGCGGCGGCGAGCTCCCCCGGTGGGCCGAGCTTGGCAAGCCCCACCGCGAGGGGAGCAATCCACCTGAAAAAGAGAGAGGGAGCTCTCCATCAGATCATCAAAGGAGGAAGGAAAGGCGGCCGCAACGTGAGAGAGAGAGAGAGAGAGAATGAGCACTGACGCGGGGCCTTGGGCGGTGAACTCGCCGGACGCAATGCGCGCCGCCAGCTCAGCCTGGCGCCGCCGCCGCCGCTCCTCAAGAACCGGGTCGGAGCCGGAGCCGTCGCCACCACCGCCTTTCCCGTTGCCGCCCGAGGCGGCGCAGCGGAGGAGCAGGCGGCGACGAGCTGAAGCAGCAGCAGCAGCAGCAGAAGGAGGAAGGCGCAGGTGTGCCTGACCGGAGCCGAGTAAGCGGCACGGAGGTGGAGCAGCGGCGGCCGCAGAGGAGGTAGCCGCCATGGCAAAGGCACTCACTGACGTCGCTGAGCTCATCGCGAGAACTCCTCAGTGGTGGAGTGGAGTGATGAAGTGAGTGGAGTGGCGCGAGGAAATCAATGGTGGAGGTGGAGGATGAGGTGGTGGTGGACGTGGGGCCTGCTCCTCCGTTTGTTGAGCTGCCTTTCCCGCGCGCGCGCGACTCCCGGCCGGCCAACCAGACAGACAAGACAACCAAGCCTTCCTCCAGAGATGCTACTGGAGTGTGTAACGGAATCTTTGCAGCATCCTCCTCTTCTTCTCCGTTGCTACAATTGAATTGGCAGCTAGGATCAGTCTCAACTGATAAAACATACTCCCTCCGTCTCTAGATATTTAACACTGGTGATTTTTTTAAACATATTTGACTGTTTATCTTATTCAAATTTTTTTATAAATATTATTCAAAAACTTGAGTAGTAATAGTATATTTAAGAACGAATCAAATGATAGGAAAAGAATTAACTTTTGAATAAGACGAACGGTCAAACATGTTTAAAAAAAAATCAACGGCATCAAATATTTAGGGATAGAGGGAGTACTACATGGAATAGAAGTTATATCTTATACTTCATCCATCCTAAAATATACTCTATCCGTTTTAGGTTATAAAACGTTTTAACTTTGGTCAAAATCATATTGTTTTAAGTTTAACTAAGTTTATAGATAAATATAATAATATTTATAGTACTAAATTAAATTTATCAAATCAATAATTGAATATATTTATTTTTTTCTACAAACTTAGTTAAACTTGAAGCAGTTTGACTTTGACCAAAGTCAAAACGTCTTATAACCTGAAACGAAGGGAGTAGAAGATTTTAGATAAATGTGGCATATCCTTGAACTATAAATCTATACAAGTTAAGAAAAATGAATCTAGACAAGGTAGGATATGTAATATTTACCAAAAACCACTTATATTTTGGGACTGACTGAGCAGTAACTAGGAGCAAGATTTTCTTTGAAAATTGCACTACCAAAAGACTGCAGTGAAGAATGGGAAATCAGAATATAGAGATAACTGCAGACTAATCATGGTAAATTTGATATACCGACAGAAAGTGCAGGTTTTCGTGTGGCGGCAGTTGGGGCTTCAAGATACCGTGAATTGGATGGTATTGGCATTTTTATACCTTCAAGTGCAAACAGCATTTGTCCTGGAGTTGGATGTTGTTGCCAGAGTATAAAATTGGAACACGCTGTAGCATAACAGTGATGGCAACGTGTAAAACAATCATAAGAGGTTCGCATTTTAATTTTTTTCATTTTGAGATGATCAAAGGAAGATCATGTACCTGGTAGGTATAACACAGGAAACAGTCTCCATATCCTATCAGCTGCAGCTCCAATTGAACATTCAGATGAGATGAATCCAAGTGCAGCCTCTTCTAGTACAAACTGTACAAGAGCATGGGGGCTCTCTGAAGAGATGATTCCAATGCAACTCTTTGCAAGTTTTCGAAGGAAGACATTGACACGTCCATTTCCATCATCCAAGTCATCGAATGCAGCCAGAAGAAAAGTAGTTTTCACAAGGCTCCAACTTTGCATTCTTCCTACTAATAAATGGAGCGGAAATAGAGAGGCAATTTTATGTTATCTTCAAGGTGGAATCAATCATGTCGTGGAGAAAAGAAAGCCATCTGTATGTGTTTCACCTTTTTTTTTTAAAAAAAAAAATCTAATTGGTAACTGAAGGAACACGGCGCATGTCGATAAGCATCCTGCAGCTTGGAGCCTTGGGCAAATCAGCTGGCCTTCTTCAGATAATGCTTCCCTCCTAGGCATTGGCCCATTCCGTTAATCACCTGAAGAGGACATCACCTGAAGGGGACAATAGTAGTTTTAGGAACAGGTTAAGACTTAAGACGTTCAAAAACTTGGAAAGCCAAATGCAGTGAGTCCAGATGAGCCGAGCTCCGAAATATGTACCTTCGAATTTAAAACAGTTTTCACATTGAAATTGATATTTTTTTTCCACATTCGCCTCATCTGATTGTGGACATGGGTAGAATTGGATCCCATATCCAAGTACAGAAAGTGTGCAACATCTGTTGGTAGTTACACTAAAGTGCCCCCCAGACTGTTTTTAAAGAATAATAACCTCTACAGAGAATTGGAACAGTGAACATCAGGGAATGTCAGTAAAATTTAACAGTTGCTGTTGCAACAGAAACAACATGTTCAGAAGCTCAATGGCTAAAAGGATCTAGCACTGCAACATTGATTCGACACGAGTGGAACTAGTGCGCGCTAGTGGTGGCGCAGAAGCTTGAAGCAAAGAAAATTCAGCATATCTCAACATCTGGTACGCACACGCACATCAGCTAATGGAAGAAAAGCCAAATTAATGAGCAGTCATACTGCACAAATCAAACCACTCGCACACATTTGTTAAGCAATTATTAACAATTAGTATTAATTTGCCCAGAATGTGTTGTTACTGATCCGAAGTGCAAATGCACACAGATTTTTGCCGTGATCCAAACAATAGCTAAATCGGAGCACCAAATCGACCACACCCACCAGATTTTGTAGCAGACACAGCAAAAGCAGTAATGTAGGAGTACCTTGGAATGAAGGAGATCGATCCATCGTTGAAGCCCTAGGATGCTATTCCCTTCCTCCTCCACCGCCTCCTCGCTCGAACCGCATCGTTGAAGTAAATCTACAAGTTCATGGGGTCCGTGGGCACCTGGCTCGACGGCGGTTACGTGGAGAGACGCCGGGGCGTCGCGCCGGACCGTGCAGCCTGCGGGTGGGAGGAGATAGGGGGTTTGGGATTCGGAGAAGACGCAGGAGGAGAAGGAGATCAGTTGCAGTTGCGGATGCAGCGAGCTGGAGCGATTGGAGGAAGGATTCCTTCGAGCTTGGTTTCGTGGGAGGGCGCCATGGGTGTTCGACGAAATGCTCGAGCGAATCAGAGGAGGCTATTTTTTTTTTCAAAAAAAATGAATTAAGAACTCATTAACGTATAATTAATTAAGTTAATATTGTTTGTAAAATGATTAATATGAATTTAAAAAACAAATTTTCTTTATATATATATATATTAAAAAAATAATGTTTAATAGTTTAAAAAACGTGCGTGAGTTGAGTTGGGAAAGTAAAAGAAAACACAGCGGTCGAACGGACTTGGCAGAGAACGAATACAATCCATATCGCTGAACTTGTCAAAAAAAATAATACCGTATGTATATCTCCAGAAGAACAATGGCAATGTAGTTCATTAGTACAGCATCGGCGTGTACCATTCATAAGAAAAAGAGCAGTATTAGTTCATATCCAAATCTCATGCTATAGCTTGACATCCTAGAGAAGTCTTGCTGCCATAGCCCCACATCTTCAAGAACAATTATTTGTGCAAACGTTAATGTCGTCTTTAAAAATTACATCTACCTGCTATACAGGATGATATCAGCTAGGAATCACAATCCTCCAGCAGCAGATAAATGGCCATGGATTGCATTGTCATATATGCATATATTTACAAAATAGCATGAACATGGAGCACAGTCAGCTTTGTCAGCCACTGTAACACCGAAATCTTGTGTGAATGAAATGGGATAATAGGCATATAGGATTACTTAAACGTCGTGGGAACGCTGGAAGATTAGGAGCGCTACATCAGCTATTTTTTTTATAAAAACCCTTGCGCTTTCGGTTAATTATGTGCCGGTCCCCGCTGTTGTCCACCATCCAATTTCGCCATAGGGTCGATCTGGCCGTCCACGTGTCCCGTTGTGCCGGCCCTTCCACGCCCGTGCGATCGTCGGATTATGGATGGACGGCCTGGATTTCGCGAAACGGTACAAACCATAGCCGCCCGTCCTCTCCTCTCCCCACGCGCGTCGGTTCGCCCGCCTCCTCCGCTCGCGTGCGCCGTTGCCGTCGCAGCTCCCTCTCCTCTACCGTGCTGCCGCCGCCGCTCCCTCCCAATGAGCCGCCGGATCTCCCAGTGAGGAGGCTGGGGCCGCCGGATCCGGTGACCCCGGTCTCCTCGCCGGCGGATCCGGCGCCCAGACGCCCACCTTCTCCGTCGCTGCCACAGCTCCCTTCTCCTCTACCGTGCTGCTCCAGCCGCCGCCGTGTCACTCTGCGGCCGCCACCCTTGCTCCCGATGCCACACGACAAAAGTGGTGGCTCCTTCGCCTTCGCCTCCTCCGCTCTGTTCCTCTCCTCTCTCCAACTCTCCTCACCCTCTTCTCCTCACTTTTTCTACACCTTTGTTGACGAGAAAATCGAACACATCGGCCTGGGAGATCTACTTAGCTCCTGTGCAGGTCCAAAGATTAATGAGATGCGGGCGTGCCAGTCAGTTTGATCCTGCAACTGACAAGATTTGCAAATAATAGATCAAACAGCCGATCAGCTGACAAGCCGATGGAGTAGTTCCAGCCGATAGCCGATAATAGATGATGCCGATACCAGCCGATGGCGATAGGGTTTAAGCAATCGGCTATATGTCCAATGTAGATAATGATATAAAGGCAATCGGCTGATGATAATATAATATAGCAATATAATCTAGTATAAACCAATCGGCTAACAATATGAAATAGTAGAACAAATATTGATCTGTAGGTTAAAGCACACATCGGCTGCAGGTCCGATGTCATAAGATCCACAAGATTAGATTAAACAGTGAAACCTTTGTTGCCATCGGCTAAATCCAACTTATATGTATATGCAATCCCTACAAGCCAATGCAACGTCCAGATAACTTATCGGCTAGCACCCCGATAAAACATTAGCATGAACCTATCAGCTTAACAAGACTTATATTATCAACAACAATCTAGTAGATCGAACCTAACCGATGCAGCATGAGATTGTATATGATAATCTAATACTCGATGAGCCGATAGATCTGTCTAATATGATGGATATAACAAATCTATTTAGAAAAACATTATGATTGTAGAGATATATCGGCTAAGACAGGAGATCAAACCTAACCGAGACAGTCCCAACTAAACCGATGCGTCTCTAAACACAATGCAATTAGAGATAGAATTGAGATATCAGGTAGGCAAATATATCAACCAAACCAGAGCGATCCAAGAGATCGAATCGATGCAGCCTTGAACAACACCAACATAGCCGACAGATTCACAGGGCCCGACAGAACGTAGGACTTACCCCTTCGCTGGAGATCGAAAGCCAATGCAGCCCTGCGTCAGGTGCCCAAGTTCCGCCGGAAGACAAGTAAAAACCTCAGGGAAGAGGGTGGCGATGTGCCGAGAGTATTATTGAT